GAAGCACTTGTCTCTCCCTCACTCATGAATAGAATACATGCGTCTATTCCTCACATGAGAGGAATACGTCTCTCCCTCAATGAAAGGATTTTACATGCCTCTCCCTTACTTATAAAAGATTCACAAATGCCTTTCCCTTACATATAAAAGGTTCCCACATGCCTCTCCCTCACTCATAAAAAGGTTCCCACATGCCTCTCCCTCACTTATAAAAGATTCAAACACTTATAAAAGGATCACACATGCACTCCCTGTCGCAACATTGCCCCACGTCCTCCTTACCACCTCTACGACACACGCGCGCGCCAAATCGCGTGTTGATGCGAGCTTCATGCGTCACCCTCAAAGGCTGCACGGCATGATTACGTCGATCTCACGCTCGCCTTACGAATTGACTGCTACTCTTTTTACCTCCACTTCCTCTGCGAAAAAAAAAAAAAAAAACGTAGAGAACATGCGATTTAAAAACCGTGGTCGGCCAACCTAGGCGATTTCCAAGTGTTCATTCAGGTACATTAACCAATTTGAGATAACGATGGAGTTTGGTGAAATGTGGTTTTGTTAATACTGCTAAAACCGCGCGAGATGAACGAATTTGGGTAATGTCTTATGAATTTCGACTTCCGCTTGATCAAAGAAAATTTATTATATATATATTATATATATATATATTAATATATATATTATTATTTTTTTTTTTTTTTTCTTTCTTCTTTTTCTTTTTTCAGTTGTAAATCAGTGTACTCTCATACCTTTATTTCGTGTTTTTTTTCCATTTTCATCTGTATTTCAAATATAAAACAAAACGTACGTCTTACCCCAAGCACTTGAATTGACCCCTGATTTGCATGAGATTTCATTGACTCTAAAAATGAGAAATGCTCAACCAAGGAGTTCGTGAATAGAGAAGTAAGTGCCTATCTAAAGAGCGCGTCTCAGCTATCCATTTTCTGTGAGTGATAGAGTCAGAAGACGTGTGTGAGAAAACGGACCTAAAAATGGCTTAACTTGCTCACATTATCTGACAGCGCGGATAGAGATTTAACGGTTCCCATGTGATTAAGGGCAAATCACTTATCTGAAATAAGAGAAGATAATGATCTCTCCCAGCAGCATAGAGACTGACCATAATTCCTAAGCCTTTTGGGGGTCCAAGTTATCACAAGATCAATCAACGAATTAGTGCATTCAGTGGTACTAGATCAAAATGTCGATCAGAAAACGAACTGACAGGAACAAATTCCGTCAGAGCCCACCACGGACAACTGCCATGGCTTCTGCACTTTGTTCAGTGGTTCTAAACTTTTTTTTCAGGCGACCCCAGTCATGCACCTTCGAACACCTCCAGACCCAGTCTATTCTACAACATGTAGGCTTACAGTATATCGGCGACCCCACTTAGGATGGCGACCCAGGGTTGGGAAAGGCTGACTTCGTTGTTATTGTTCAGTATTCCACCTTGGTCTGGGTTTCTTTTTAGATACAAATTTAGTAAAAATATTACTACGCCATATGGGAGTCCAACACCCGAATCGGTGGCAAAATAACTTACCATACAATAACCAAGTAAAAACATAAAGCCCGAATTTCAACCTCAGCATATGTCCAGTCTCTGGGGCTATTCATGAAAAATCGAGTACGATGGTCTCCTTGTTATTGGCCTGGTGTGAGTGAAGAGTCCCTGTCCTAATGCGCATTGCCTCCCACAGACTCCATAGTACTTGGTGGTGGGTGGCTTAGGACTGTCTGGATCTTCTTGTCTCTCTTTCTGCTTCTTCTCTTCTATTCCGTTAGTCCTCGTCTTCTCAAATCTCTCCGTTCCTTCAAGAATCAGGGTTCTCCAACTAGCAAGATCTTTGGCTTGCTCTTCCCAGGTATTTCAGTCGAGGTTGAAGCTCTTTAGGTTGTGCTTGAAGGGGTCCTCTCAGTACATCTTCCTCGACACAAAAGAGAAGAGAGATGATGTGGAAGCGCTCCTCAGGCATCGCTGGTGGAATCGCCCAAGGGAATTTACTAGAAGTCAGTCCGTGGTCTAGGTGTCAGATCCACAAAGGAGAGTAGGTATGATATAACGGTCTCCCCCTCATTTCAAATTTCACCCCCCTTCCCAAACAGGCCTCTTCGTCTTCCGTGTATTGGTCTACAGTAGTATGACAGCGAGACAATCAGCTGGTGACGAGTCGAGATATTCCCTGACAACTGTCTGTGGGTTTCCGTTATCTGTATATTGCCCCAAAACATCATCATCACTGTTTGAGAGGATATCTTTAGATAAATAAGACTAGTGATATTGATGAGCAAATTGACTTTTTTCAAATAAACAGTTCTTCAAGAAAGACAATGTATCATTTCTCAAGGAATTTTCTGTAATATTCATGCTTTCTGTTAAAGACGTTAGCAATACGATGACAATTGAACAATTTGAAAGATTTTCTCTGAGATGATAAGATAACTTATTTATATATCTTTTTTATCACCCTTGCATTAGAATAAAAGGACATTTTTCTCTTCGAGTTCATTAAAGGGACGCTTTTCTCTCCTTCATTGAGACCTAACGCTAATATTTTTACCAAACGAATGTTTTTTTCACTTGCCATTTAGGACAGACACTGACAAATATGACTTTAATTCCCGCTTTTCTCCCTTTAGATCTTTTTTACCCTTCTGTAATAATGGCCCTATCGACTGTCTTTTCGCTCGTCGATACCATTGTAATCACAAGAATGTCATGCATGTAAACACTGAATGTCTATGTAACGCATACCAAGGAAGATAAGCACCTTTATGTTTTATATTTGCAGAACATTTTTATAAAGAAATATATGCTGAAATGGTTTGAG